ATGTATGATAATAGTATAATATATAATTTTATAGTAATTATATTAGTAATAGTAATAATAATAATAATAATAATTAATAAATTGCACGAGGAAAATACATTCAATGTGTAATGTGACACATCCCACAGTTACTTTTATTGTTGTGAGCAAATCATTGTGATTAAATTTTTACCGATTTTATTTGGAAAGACCTTATGGCCATTAAAGTTATCGAATTATAATATTCGTCTTATTATCAAGATCGAATACCAATGAGTATGAAAACTAGTCACCAGTTATAGTTCAAATGTTCAACTTCTTAATTGTAATAATAGTGTTGCAGTCGCACAATGGACGCAATGCCAAGCGAATGAAACAAGACAATTTTTATAGTAGGTGGACAGACATTTAAATGCTATACATTTCTTAAAAAATATATTCAACGATGAACTTGCTACTTAAATTCTTGAAAGTGTTATTTGAAATTAAACGATGATAATTCTATTATTTTAAATTTTGATAATTGCAATTGTCGAAGACAATATGAAAATACACTGAACGTAAAACAATTTGATAATTCATTAAAAAGAAAAGTAATCTTTGAAATTTCGACAAAACCAGCTAAATTAATCAATTCAGAATAAGTGATTTACCACCTTTAAAATTATCAGAAATAATTCTTATTAATCGAATTATATAATATACCCACAATAGTGACTCGCTCAAGATTGTTTAAAAATTCTTTAGAAACACAATGCGTTAAATAATACAGTAACATTAACAAATACTGGCGAACCTTTTATGATAATTATTGAAATTTATACTAGTATAATTATTTTATCGACAGTTACTAATTTAAAAATGTTTTGCGACACACATAATATTTTCGTAGACGGAATATTTAGTAGTTGTTTAAAGTTTTTTCATCAAATTATCATTGTTTATAGATTCGTTGATAATAAAGCATATAAATCACTTATTTTTGGCATATTAGGAAAAAAATAACTTGGTACTTACATTTAATTTTTCATATACTTAACTTATTGTCCAACATTAGGCTTAATATTTTTACCAAATCGAATGCTTATTAATTTTGAGTTAGTTACGAGTATACAAGACACATTTAACCTTTGATTGAAATTTAAAGGTGTCGATTCCATCTTGAATAAAGTTGGTGGAAAAAATTTAAAGTCTTGGATTAATCAGCGTATATCAAGTACAAAATTTAGAACAAAGTAAATTTCTAAGAATATTTTTTTGGTTTACTTTTTCTAAGCTTAAATGAAGTTGAACGGTGTTTTGTTGAAGATATCAAGGTAATTTAACCTATTAGAGATTTGTAGATTACATTTTTGGAACATATAATAATCTTGCTGGTTTATTTTCTCTTAATATTTGGGCTGAGTTGAAGGTGACAACGAATGACTGTGAATCATTTCATTCTATGCTAAATGGAATAATTAATTGTTGTCATCTAAAATCTACAATTTTATTGATATACTTAAAGACATACAAATACGTTGCAAAGAGGTATTACAAATGAAAAAAATAACAATAAAAAAAGAATTTTTTTTAGACAATAAATGGTTAAATAGGGAAATAAAAATATTTCATGATTGGAATTTGTTAAAAACATATAAATTGTTACTCTGTACATAATAAAACAAATAGTAATAACATAGATAAAAATATTTATTAAAAAGTACTTAAATACATAAACATGTTTAACCACGCCTGTTAACACGGATGGACCTAAACTTGTAAAAGTGGGAAAGAAATTTTTTTTTTATATATCCATAAACTTTTTCAAACTTAGGACTCAGTTTATCTAGAACGTTTTCAAACCCAAGACTCAGTTTACCACAAAAAAGATGTTTCAGATTCAATTCACCTATCTTAATTTTGATGCAAATTTTCATGTAAATACCAATTTCATTTGTATTGAATTTGAAGGTAAATTAACAAAGATGAATAGTTTATAGTACAATAAGGTTTCTAAATGAAGCTCGATTAATGTTAAAATGCCAATCCAGTTCAATTGTTTACGATTTTTAAATTTTATTTCAATAGTTAGTGGATCCATAGTTTTGAAATTAATGAGGTCCAATCTGCGTCCATATTTTAAATAATTTATATTAAGCTCGTAGAACTATTTCACGTTATCCTAGCTAATTAATGGTGACCGAAAAATAATATATGATTGCGAGACTCCAATGGCTCTTTCGATGCTCCCGAAAAATGTACAATTGAATTCGAGTCTTATTTAATGAGATGGGTATCGTCATTTTAATTCAAGGATACGTGGGTGATCGAGGCTTTTATTAGTGGAGTTGATCTACTTATTTTAAAATCTATCTGCAGATTGCTACAGTAAATTATGTCCCGAAATAGAATAACGTATAAACATTATTCGTGTATACGAATAAAATTGTACATTACATTTTAATACATTCATTAAAAATATTCGGCTTAAGTATAATACGTGTCGAAAAACGGACTGTTAAAAAATTACACTTACATATAGATACTATTAATAATAAGATTATAAATTAATTACTTTTCTGGAAATATAAAATATTTGGATTTTTCATTTTGATTACCATAAATACAAGTTGGATTATTAATGAATATACCTAATTTCTTATGAGTCCCAATGGATACGAATCCGTTTTTAAGATAATCAGAATTTTATATTGGAACATATAGAGGATAACAAAAGTTATTAAAATTATATCGAAACGTTTCAACAAAATAATTATAATGTAAAATTTAAACCATTTTTCAAAATAAAACTTATATGCTAACCGTGAAATGTTGTTTTAAATGTTAAGGTTTTCGAAGGTTGATTTTCAAATTATTTTCAAATATGATGGCAACAAACTTTTTCTTAATTACAATATCGCACCAAGTAACGCGCATAAAAAGTTTTCCGAAAAATGAATTCCTGTTCATATTATTAATACTATGATTTGTCAGTTGCATCTATACATTTCAACAAATTGCATATTATTTTAACATTTGTACTGATTTACGATTACAACACTACAGTACTACGTCGTAATTAATTATTTATACAATCGGACGTTTGAAAACAATAAATATACAGTAACATAGGTAGTAGTGTATTATTATAATAAAACTGTGTTCATAAGTGTAAGCATATGACGTGTGCGTGATCTCTTGCGAACGATAAAAATATTTGAATATTTTTAGAAAACGAGTGTTAGTGCTGTAAAATATCTAAATACCTATTATTCGAGCACATTGTTTGGTCACGTCCGATAGTGTTGATGTCGAACGACAAGATGATGGATTTCATTCGAATTTCCTAGTCCAAAATTACATCCGTTCATTCTGAAAGCGTGGAGCCGCATAACAACTTTTGTTTCTGCAGCATTTGACTAAATCATAGTTTGCTATCACACAACTAAGAAAAGCCATAAATTACCTTGAATAGCGAACGGGTAACGTATTGTGGTAAGTCACGATAGTTCGAATGGTAAATGATTACGATTCTTTCGTATTACATTGTAAGCTTGAAGTACATTATTATACAACGTAGTGTTAGATGTTATTCTATGGCTTTTCGTTGCCTATTCAATATTAATTGAAACCGTTCGGATCGCTATTGTAATTTTATTTTAAAAATGAATAAACTTTGGTTTTTCATTTGGAATCGATTGGTTTCCAACAAATAGTGCGTACATTTACATAACAATTATTAAATATTAATTACCTATTGTAAAACAAACACAGCCGTCAGCACGTAGTAAATATTTATAATCGGTAAATGTTTCCAAATTGTTGATATTAAAATATTTTATACTGAAGAACGATATAGTATACATAGTTTTTTGTTCATATTGAAGTTATTTTAACACATTATTTTTACTTTAAAATATTTGATAATATTATTATTTGTTGTCAAATAATCAAATCAACAAAAATACATTTTTAACTTATTATTTATAATACGTGGATATATTACGATAATATCGAAGTTTCTATGATTAACTAAGTAATTTATTTAGATAAAATACAATTTGATCATTTTAGTGTACACGATAATTTTCTTAAATATTAAGTTTAAAACCTTTATATTTTACCATAAGAAATTTTATAAAATGTTTTCTTCTGGATAAGTTTGGCGATTTATAACGATTTTTCATCGCATAATTTAACGAATGATAGTAATTATTATTCAAATATAACATTTTAAGATATCAATAAACATATTAAAATTTTGTATAATCATTTTTCTTTTTTCGAGTACATTTCGCCATTGATTAACGTATATAAAAGCTATACATCGATACAATATTTCATACGGATTTTATATAGTGTAAATATTATCATAAATTATTTAATTAGTACATATGAAATATAAATAGTATGACTATTTTTAAAATAATAATTATTATAATTATGATATAAATACAATTAAAATTATATAGTTTAGATGTAAAAATAGAAAAAGTCAACGTTTTTGGAAGAGGTAATTAATTTTGTAATAACTTTTAATTAGATAATGGGTATCCATTTTTTTTTAAATTTGCGGATCAAAGTCATGATGATTCATTCACATTAGAATCGATTTTTTATTCATAATTTGGATAGATTCTGAAATTAGCGTCAATTACGAAAATGGGAGTAATTGAAATATCTGTGTACAGTAATAAGTTTCATTACTAGGCGAATAAATGTCGGAAAATTAAGGATACTTTAATATGCAACATAATGTACACGAGTAATAAAAACTCTTTATTTAGAAAGAAGTAAGGGAGCTGCAGGCACTGATAAAATGGAAAAAATATTTTAGACGAACGTGACACGTTTGTCTAGTTATTTCGACAGCGTTTTGAACATAATTATAAAACGCCCGAAAATCAGTATATATATTTTTTTATATGATAATTTCGTATAACTTTATATACTATATAATATATTGAATATAATATTAATAGTCTTTCATTTATTCTAATGGTAACAAAAATAATTTACCGTCATAATATATTAGGTACTTAAGTGTTGGCGATAAACCTATAAATTAAAAATAGTTAGAAACGCTAAGCTATAATAATATTTAATAACATCAAATAGTTTTTCGAGTTTGATTCCGGACGAATCGAAGATATTTCAAAATGAACACACAGAAAAACACATTATAATAATAATATTATGATTTATCAACGTAGATAAAATAATATTAATAACAAAACTAACCTGTTGGATTTGAAGGCAATACACACTCAGGTCGAATAGAAGTGAAATAGAAATATAATATAATTTTACGTTATAAAATATATCGTATGCGGCACAAACACTTTATATCTGTTGTTTATTAAGTTTTTGTTTTTTTTTTTTATATATATTACCTATAAAAATATTTTTCACAAACAAATACAGGTAAATAGTATATAATATTATGTCCGAGCAGTTACATATATGGGATATTATCGTCCGACATATGCGTTTTGCACACACGATGGACGAGAATGAAAAAAACGTAAATCGTCAATACGTATCTGCAGACTAGAAAGTGTAATATTACATCCACTGCAGAACATCAATCGACCGATTCGCTCAGTGGTTGCCACTGGATTCCGGTATCTTCGGTAACGTCGTGGTCATCGTTTTGCAGATTTCGTTGATACTAATCGTACCTTTTTCTTCGAGATCTTTCCAGTACTGATAGTTGCTCCTCATGTAGTACAACATTTCCGGCATATCAATAAACGCTGTAATACGAGTACGAAAACATGTATGATATAAATCTGATATCGGCGACATAAATAGCAGCAAAACGAGTTAATAGTGAACGCGATCACCATTAATAAACATATATAATACATAATACATAATATGTATACTAACAGTCCCAAGTCTCAAACATGTCGTTAATAATGTAATCCATGAAACCAATTTGCGACTTTGGTATGGAACACGTGACCCGATCAAACATTGGCATCACTACTGGTAAATGGTTGATTTTCTCCTCGTCGGTCTGAAATTAAAAAATATTCGTTATTTACGTATATCATATATTATATCTATTATATCATATTTTATATGTACGTTGAATACGTGGGTTATGCACACAACAGCTGTAAAAAGGGTAGTTGATAAAAAAAAAAAAGAAAATTAAAAAAATAGTGCAAATGAAAAAAACCAATTCAATTATTGAAAGAAATCAAAGACTTATTTTTAATAATGAAAGTAAACAAGTACAGTGGTACTAATACTAATAATTCAAAATTGAAAAATGTTTAAGAAAAATTCATAGATATAGAACTTAATACATATGTGGGCATTCAACTATCGATATTTAAATTTTAGTTACGTTTGTACGCGATAATCCTACGAACATTATACTTTCAGGTTTTGATGGACGTGTAGTGGTTATAAAAATTAAACGCGAATAAAATATACTTGTTTTATTCGATACGAAATGACGACATGCATCAATTAATGATCTATAATATAATAATGTATTACGTAGAAAAATACTAATGTGAAGAAAGACGTCGTATAGATATATATATACAGTCGTTTTTGATGCGAATAAAATGGCAAATTACAATGTGAATAATTATAGGGAAGGCAAATATCCAATAAATATATTTCATTATAGTATTCTCATTGTTTTTTTATTTATTAAACGAGCTGGGTCCTTTTTTTCAAAAGTTTGTGTGAAATTCAAAAGTTTTATTTTTCATCAGAGCAATTTTTATAAAATATTTCGTATAATATACGATTTTTAGGTTGCTACGTCTTACATATACGGTGTTTAGTCACGATTGAAATAATATTATAAATATATTTGTTGAACGTTTTATACGAAGTGTAACTCGCATTTTGGTACAATATAGTTCTCTTTAAAAACGTTTCTTTCTTAAATAAGAAGGAAAGGTTTTTCATATACCTGATTAAAGTATTCCTCTGCAATGCGTTTGGCCCATTCCACGCACATCTTCAGCGGTCGCGTTGGGTTGGACACGTCCGCACACTTAATCAACATTCTCTTCACTAGATTCACTTCCTCAGCACTGGTAGGCGCTATAGTTTCGGGGCTCACATCACTGGGAGTCTATTAGAACAAACGAGTTACATTAGCGTTCTGTCAACGTAAATGTAAGATATGTACAACAGTATAGCGGACAATAGTAGTGTAGAATTGCAAATAGATTTACAACTAGTCAACATATGTGTAAATTAATGTTTTGGGTAATAGAAGAGATTTTTTTTGATTATAAAACGTATATTTTTTCCATCAAAGTAAAACTAGAAACACAAGTTTTATTAAAATGATTACAGTCGGGTCGTGATTATTCAATTCATGATTCTCTAATATCCTCGATGACTCGAATTACACTATAGTTCATTTCCAACATGTTTTAAATTTTAATATAATTTTATCTACACTGCTTGAGTTACGAGAGTACTGTAATACAATCAGAGCTTATTATATCATTTGATATGATCATGTAACTGTTATTATTTATTTATCAGTGAATTTACGGTTATAATAGTTGATTATTTTAAGCATGTAATAAAATTATTTAAATTACAAATTGTATTAAAGAAATAATCGAGGATCTAGTTCAGTACTTCAGGATAGAAAAATGTACAATTCAGATTTTTGGAATACATAGGAATACACATTTGTTCATATAAGTCAACGATGAATTTCTACTCACTAATCCGTCGACTGGTGCTTCATCGAGACTCGAAGGTTTGTTGCAGACGCTCACGAATTTGGCCAAATGTTCGAAATGTTTTGTCATCTCGGTGGCCAATATCATATCGATAATATTCTGTCTTACCACTTTGTACGTGTCTTTTTCCAGACCTAAATCCAAACCTGTTTTATTTTGCTATTCAAAAATCATCTTACTTACATTTGGACATCAGCCAATGTACGTACCTTTAAAAATGTTCAACCGCTCGTCTCTGGTAGTGAGCTTGAACGTTAGAGCGGCATGATGCGATTCCAAAACGCTTATGTCGTTATATAGGATAGCCAAATCGTTTTGGGAATTGCATAGGAACGCGCTAATAAAAAAATAATGTCATTATTACACCGTCTCCGATCGGTTTAAGCGTCGGTCGTTTGGTTTTGGCCTAACCTCGATTTGCCTGGATGATCGATGTCGTGCGTAATAGCTGCGATTAGACAACAAGCCTCGTCCAACTGATCCAGAAGCCGCTTGATGCGATCTTTTTCCAAAAACATGGCCGTTGCTTGTAACACATCTGCCGCATGCGTGGAGTTGTGATAAGTGTTTTTAGCGTGATAATGACTTTCGATCACGGTCAACCACGCATGTAATGTTCGTTCGTCACAACCAAGAGTCTTGTGTACTTCAAAGTGCATCAGCAGATTCATTCCCAGATGCACCAAAGGTCTAAAAGTAATAAATATGCAGAGATTTAATTTTAATGCAAATCGAAATTCAAATAATAAAATTGATATTGCTGGTTCAAAAATATTTTTTTACAAAAATAAATAGGTAAAGGTAATGTGAAAAAATTAATATTAAGTAATAAGATTTACGAAGGTAAAATATATTGTTGACATCGAGAAGATTGGATTTTATTTTATTTTTATTTATTTATTAATTCAAACGGGCAAATTCCAATAATAATTTTAATTTTGAATAATAATCATTTAAAATCCAACATTTTAATAATCAACTATGACGAGACCGGGTGAGTTAGCGATAGTTGATTATTATGGCATCAAAGAAAAGTAAAATATTGTTTTATGATGTTTAATCAGCAGCATTAATATGTGTGTGTTTACACAATACATTTTTGAAACTGGAAAATATGTTACATTTTAGTACGTATACGTCACCTTTTCATGCTGAGTTCTTCGAGTTTAAATACATTGAAATCCCAGTATAATGACATGTCCAACAGTTCTTTGATCTGAGGAGTAACACTGGTCATAAAATTCATTTTAGCGATACCCATACCATAGGGTTGATTTTTGACCGTGGCCGAATCGTTGGAGCTCCTTCGGGTAGATGTCACGTGCATGGGTCCTTGCTATGGAACAGAAAATTTAAGCACAACGGACGTTCAGGTATACAATTGTAATACGACACGAACAGTGCATGTTGTTTATCCGTGAAGCTAATGACTGAATAAAAACCCATTTTGTACTAACCGTAATAAGAGCGCCTATTAAATCCGATGTAACCGGGTCGTCGAACTTTATATTTTCGGTTTTCAAATGTGACGAGTATAGCTCAGTGACACGCAAAATATCGACAACCTAAAGTTAACAATAATAAACGGATGATATTTATACTTTATTCATACGCATATATGTATGGGTTTTGATGCAGCAGCTCCGACGTCCTTACTTTATCCAAAATTTGTACGACTTGATCGTTTGAGTTTTCTTGAGCGGTACATATCAACGATATGACTTTCGTGATCGGCGCTTCGAGTGGCAAGTTGTGCAGTTTCGCCAGACTCTGTCTCCGAGCCGACTGTGCGCCTTTAAAAGAAAAATCTAATAAATTTAATAGATTAAATTCAATAAAAGTTCAAATCTTCTGAAATACAAACACACGAAATCATAGTTAATTATTATAAATAAGCTGAATGGCGTTACGCGTGGACTATTTAGTTTAGTAGATGTTTTTCGATGTGAGGTTGAAAATATCTTTAAATATTTTTATTGGTGTATCAAATTATAGCTTGAAGATGGTAGAATCAATCAAAATAGAATTTTTTTATTGACCTTGAGAAATTTAGTTTATAGTATATCATAGTATATAGTTTTTTGGTTGATAAAATATGGTTTGGATTAAAATTGAATTTTATTGATATTCTGATAAAGATTGGCTATTTAATATAACCATTGGTTATATGATATTATATAAAATAATATCTTTATATAATCAACGTATTGACAAGAATGTCGGTGAAATACTATATATAAAGGGAAAACGATGTACATTAATGTCGGATGTTTCGGTAAAATGATATAGTTTATCCGTTTATGGAATATGATTCACAAAAAATAAATTGCCTAGAAAGATAATAAAGTTACGTTTTTACAAATGTTTTGTAATCAAATGTATAACACGACTTTTATAATAAAATATGGGACACGAGTAGTGTTGAAAATGTCTGGTTATAGAAAATTACTGTTTGATGACTGTTTGATTACTAACTGTAATATTTTTTAATGACAAGTGAGTGTAATGAAATCCGACGTGAAGAACTTAGTGTAAAATGTCGGTAAAATTATAATTAATCAATATTTAAAAGAAGGAATTATTTCTATAAAAGTTAAAGTTTGTGTTATTAATTTATATGATAAGCGAAAATTTCTAGTAGACTGATTATCATGAAATTATGTTAGTGGAAGTTTGTTTTATATTAATAAATTAGATAATGTCATGTAACAATGATGATTTAGTAGTATTTTAGATTCAGTGCGAAATGAGAAAAAAACAAAATGGCCGAATATTATGTGAATGATTTGATAATGTTTTCCCTTCACTTAATTGTTATGTACTGCATACATTTTGAACCTTGCGGAGAAAATATTAAGTTTAATCGGTTTATTGAAATAATAAGGTCGAATGCAGGTCCATTTCTCAGCCCTTCCCCACTTGAGAAATTAAAAAATGCTATGTTATAACAACTATGCCAATCGTCTGTGCACTTATGGTACAAATAGCTTAACCATTTATTTATGATATTGAAAAGGTGTAGTATTTATTAATATATACTATAGCAATTAACATTAGAAGTATTTTTAAAGTAAATTAATTAAATATTAAAGAAAAAATATGTTGTAGACTTTTATTCATACATATTAATGTTAATTGAAGATCTGTAGGTATAGAATTTGTGAGGCTTAGTGCAGCAAAAGTATTTTGAGCACTTATTATATCTACTTATTATCTTATTATCATATAAGAATGTAAATCATATTTCATCTTTTTTTTCTTCAAAAAGGTGACCACTAAAAACATAGTATATATATATATATATATACACATAAATATATATAAATTTACAGCCCCGATTTATGTATATACTCATTTATGGTATAATAGTATTAGTCACTATATAGTAGTGGTATTATAACACTTTAAAAATACCCTAATAAGCAATACATCTATGAAGTAAAAGTTATGTTATAAATAATGATTTATACACCAGTGTATGGTATTCAAAGTTTTTTTATTTTAATAGCTTTATGCTAAGTAACAATTTTACTATATGAATACCTAAAACAAGTATTAACAATAAACATACTGTAAAATACTCGTATAAATAATAACGATAAAAATAACATTTTAATAATAATATTTGATTTTTAATTAGCAGGGATGTTTGGTAATAAAAACAATAAGCATGGTTGGCTTTTGAAATATTTCAATTGGGGGGTTACTGTTTCATTGGGTCCCCTTGGTGTAACTCAAGTTGGAGAGGGGGCTTAAACGTAGGATTACTACCTGGCACAAATGGTAGACACAGAACACAGATGACTAACATGGTCGGATTTCGTAATTTTTCAAGTGAGGGGTGGGGTTGTGGAAATGGACCTATCGAATGAAATATTATTACTAGATTGTGCGGACGTAAAAATGGTTGAAATTTCGGATGATATTGCAATAACGTGTGTCAAAACTTTACAAAAATACTGAGTTATAAATTAAACAGTTTTATGTAAACGGGTAATTTGAAGTAAAATCCGAAACGATAATTTATATAAAGCCATGAAAGTGTTATCTTGCTGACAGAAATAAAAAAATAAAAATTGAGGTACTTAAAAATGCGTAGGTAAGTACTTACCATCGCTGTTAATAGATTTGAGGTCATACGATCCCTTACGAATGGATGGTACACTTCCTCTTGGGTATCCGTGTCCCTCTGCAATAGTTTCTTGTACATATATGAAATTTGTTGTTTCTCTAAAAACAAACACACTTTTATGAGTACTTGAAAAACAAAACATTGTTTTATTCCGTTTATAATTTAATCATGAAACGACTGAAACGTGATGAAATTGTATATTATTTTTTTACGTATTTCTTTTATTAAATTTTATTATTATTTAAAATAATATTACTATACTGAGAAAAACAACATAAGGTAATTATTTTTTTATTTATTGATGAAAAAGTACATAGAATAGAAGAAGAAAAATTAAGTTTCATGACATTTTCCAAACAACGTAGGGTTACATATGCAACATTGCATGTATAATGTATTGATTGGTTTTTTTTTATTTTAATTACATTTATTTATTTATTTTTATTAAAAAGAAATGAAATGTAGCTAATGACTAGGTCTGATCATACAATACAATCATTCGGCTATCAGTAGCCGTAGTGTCAAGTCGTTCTTAGTACTCCGATACTCCGTAATCGCGCGTGTTTTTAATTTAATTTCAATGCATTCCAATAATAAAAATAAAAATACTTCACCTCAAAAACTCAATCTTCCTGCACTTTAAAAAAAAGAACTAGCAGTATCGTTCTTACATCTCCTCATACTAGTAAAAATAGGCTCTCTCCACTATTAACTCTCCAAGATACCGGTGAATTGAACAATATTACAGAAAACGACATTACTTAGCAACCACAGGTCAGACCTAAAATTCCATCTATATATGTTTATAATATTTCCGATTACGAAAACTTTCATGCTACCTTAGAAAATACAACAGTTGACAATTTCTCCATTGTAAATACAAAATCTGCCCTAAAAATTAATTTAAACTCGATTGATGATTATAGAACCGCTACTAAACTTTTTTATGAGACCGAAATTGAATACTGCACGTATCAACTTCCTAAAAATAAACAGCTTTCGGTAGTAATTAGAAATCTACCTGTAAATATATCTGAAGCTTGTATTTACAATGAACTTCAAGAACTTAAATTTGAAGTCGTTTCAGTCACATGCCTTCAAAAATTAGTTCAAATCACCAATCCCAATCATAGTAGTTTTATTATCAAAATCATCTACTGAAATATTTTCTTTAAATAGACTTTTACATTGTATAATAATAAATCCTCCAAGGATATCCCACAATTTACAAATTGTCAAAAATTTTTCCATACCAAAAAGTTTTGCCATCTGCTATCAAGATGTGACAAATGTGCGGGTGATCATCACTACAGTCAATGTAAGAAACTAACAGAAGCCCCCCTCCCAAAATGTGTTAACTGTGATAGTGATCACCCAGCTAATTTTAGAGGGTGTAATTTTTACAAAGAAATTTCAAGAACCAAAAATAAAAATAAAACTAGTACAAATCTGTCCCATAGCAAAAATCACACTATCACAATACCTAACACAAATACTCAAAATATATATTCAATCAAAGATAACACTAATCATAACACATACGCCTTTACGTGTAATATTAATAGTATCATAATAACAATAATTATAAAGGCAAATCAGTCAATTCCACAGATAACGATAACGACTTTATGAAAACTCTTTTACCACTAATTAACACATTTGTTACCCAATTAATGCAAAAAATAATATAAAACCTGCCAGTCATCATTAACATCTTTAAACTTAAACATTAATGGAGCTCCATAATACCTTATTATTAAACTGGAATGCTAACGGTCTTAAAAATCAAAGAAATACATTACTAGCTTTTCTTAATCATCACAACATACACATCGCATGCATTACTGAAATGCATTTGTCGTATGCAGATGAAATTTAATTCCGAGGCTTCAAAATGTATCGCGCTGATCGTATTACACAATTTCGTGCCATGAGCGGAGTGGGTATTCTAGTATGAAACAAATTCAAACAACAACAATTGCCTACACTAAGTGTGAGAACAAGTCTTGCCCTTATTTCTGTCATAACAGAAGCCGCTCAGTCCTGTTCTAATCCCGTACCGTAAAATATACACAGTCCAGGCAACTTAACACACTCCATATCTTTATTTATTCGTCGTAAACATTTAGCTAGCCGCACCTGGCAAAACTATAGGAACCCTACAGATAAAAAAATATTAAACCTACTCACCAAAGTAGTCCAAGCAGCTTTACAAAATTACCGTGTATCCTCATACAATAGTTACTTATCAAACATGCGACCGGGTAAATCAAAGCAACAAAAAGGCTATTAAATCATGATATCAATACCATTTCCCCTCTCCGCACTGATGCAAAAATTGTCATATCCGATCAAGAAAAATGTGATGTTTTTCAAACAAGCTGTACAATACCTTTTCTCCGAACCATATTTGTAATCCAAGCAACGATCTAAGAGTAACACACCTCAGAACTAACAAATTATGAAGTCCAAAATTCCATAAACTATGTAACGCCAAATGAAATCAAACAAATTATTAAAAATCTTCCGAATAAAAAATCATCAAGTCACGACAAAATTACAAACCTTATGCTAAAAAAATTACCACCGAAATGATTAGTGTTTATGTCCACATTATTTAACTCTTTGTTGCGTCTTGGTTACTTTCCATCCAAATGAAAAGTCGCAACCATAATACTAATAAACAAACCAGGAAATGTCAAATCCAATCCTGACAGCTATAGGCCAATCAGCTTCTTATCTTCAATTTCAAAATTGTTTGAAAAAGTCATTCACACTAGACTTCTTTTCAATTTAAATATCATAGACCTTATATCTAAATTCCAATTCGGGTTTAAATCAAATCATTCTATGGTTCAACAATTACTTAGAATAACTGAACACATTAATACTGAATTTGAAAAACATTGTCATACTGGAGCTGTATTTATAGATATTTTAAAAGCATTCGATAAAGTCTGGCACGAGAGCCTACTGTTTAAACTAATACCCATAAATACTCCATCTTACTTATTCAATATTATAAATTCATTTCTACTAAATAGGCAGTTCACTATTAAAATAAATTATAACACCTCTGACCTTATGCCTATAATTGCTGGTGTACCTCAGTGCTCTAAGCTTGGTCCCATTATATTTAACATCTACGTATATGATGTCCCCCAGTCTCCTCGTACGAATATTGCCCTTTTTGCAGACGATACTACTATATTCACCGAATCACGTAACGTTGAAGTAATTACCACAAATTTGCAAGTAAATTTTGATACAATATCTTATTGGTGCAATAAATGGTGTATCCAAATAAATGCATTAAAAAGCATAGGTATTATTTTCAGTCTTTGTCCTTATCGCCCTCCTGCACAATTACCATTTAACAATGTAAATATACCTTGGAGCTCGTCAGTAAAGTACCTAGGTTTGACATTGGATAAACGGTTAACAATGGCAGCCCCATATATCATCTAAACTTCAACAAGCATATCAGCGCCTTTCTATGTTACACCCTATTCTCAATAAAACAATTTCCAATACAGAAAAAATCATTCAGAAATTTAGATTAAAAAAATATCAGCGCCTTTCTATGTTATACCTTATTCTCAATAAAAATTTCCAATACAGAAAAAATGCTCTCTTCTAAAATTTAAACAAATTCTGCGTCCACTACTCACTTATGCGTGTCCGGTTTGGGGAAATGCGCAACCACTCTGACGCGGATCCGTGCGGCAGCCGTTATCGAAACGGCAGTCGCCGACCGTGTCCTTATATATCTCATCAACCACCACTCCACGGCACGCAACGTCGCAGCGACACCCCGTCCTCCCATCCATCATCGGACAGGGGACGTGAGCGATCGCTACGACGTCTGACAGGTACCACCACGTAACCGTGCTGTTTTTCCGAGATCGCGTACGGAGACAAATCTCGTCGTCAATTTCAACTTTTTTTTATACAACAATTGTTATACTTTGTGCACACTCATTCTTTTTTTATAATTAACATTATTAATTTCAATGTGTTGATTAATAATATATAATAAGGACTATCTGAAATAACCCGCGTCGTTTTTATTATTATTTTTATTATAATATTTTTTATCATTGTGTACACCGCACCGCGACCGTGCACACACACACATCATCACCTGTGTGCCGCGTCAACTCACATCAGTAAAATTCAAATTTATCAAAATAAAGTGCTACGTATTATTGCAAACGCACCTTGGTTTATGAAGAATGTAAACTTTCACAAAGACTTTCAGGAAATCATAGACCATATAAAAACCTCATCAAAAAACTTCCATACCTCACTGCTCAACTCTTCTGGCTCACTTCATTATAAACTCCACGTATATCCGCCTCAACGTAGATTAAAACGTTGACGTCTACATGACCTTCTGGTTTAACAACTCCACATAATATACAGCAGCTGTTTGTTACTCGTAGCGTTTAATATTAAGCTTTATAACTTGTATACGAGTATATATTATATCTGTTTATACTTTATAGTTAATTATTATTATATCAGTTCACTGTCACTTATAGTCAGTTACGTCTCTGCTTAACTATCACTAATATTAATGATTACTAATGTACATACTAGATAACAAATTCGTCTTACTATTTAAATTTCTATAAATTAATAATCATGCTCAAATTGTTATAAATGTACCATTGTAAATATCAATAGATGTAGATAGCCAAGGCTAGGGACATCTTATCTTAATAATAATAATAAAAAAAAATACAATTCAAAATTTGTTAATCTCTATAAAAATCCATTGTGGGTCGTTTGACTCCCAAACTTACTTGCCAAACGATCGAAACGGAAAAGCCCGACATTGAAGGTACACGGGTTCGCCGTTCTTGCACTTCCACGACACTTTGCCATCCCATTCAATGTTTTTCTGTAACTTTTTAGTAATTTGGTCGATGTCACCCAGTTGATGGAATACGGCCAGCGGCTGGTTGACTACGTCCTCAGGCGCGTACCCCAAAACTATTGAGCCCATCTTATTCATGTACTGCAAAGTCAAAAATTATTGTTGTGACGTATTATATATAATATATATACTAGCCGGAAATACAAGTAAAGAAAAATATTAGTTTTGTTGGGTCACCTATACCACACTTAATATTCGGTGGTACAATTTTATCTTTTTGATCGGGATGTATCCTCAAAGAATCGTCAGATTCTTTATTGCAAAAAAATAAATTATAGTTATTTTGTTTGGTATTTGTATCCTTAAGTGATAATTTTATATCAAGGCCAATCATCTGGCGTTATCGACTTATAAAAGGTGGTCATAATTTTTATTTACAATTTATGTTTCAATATATTTGGTTTATTAAGTTGGACTTGTATCACTTGTACATGTTTAAATCACTTTTCGTTCACAAGATTTTGTAATTAATTCCAATATCTGATGAATTTAAAACCAACATATGGTACATATTCTTAACACAAAATGAAATATCTTTGTTATTTAAATAAAAAATAATATGCTTGGGATATTATTAAAATATTTTTAAAATGAAGGACATTGCAACTTAAATTTGAAATGCTTAAGAAAGAAGGCTAAATGAACCACAGACTATCGGAACAATTATTTCCTGCAGGACGTACGAGTGTAATTTTATTTTAGTATTTGTCCATTATCGAAATATTTGCATTTGTATCTTAATACTGATGAACTAGTTCGACCAGGATTTCCTTTCCGGTCATAACGAATTTAGTTTTATATCGATATGATTAAAATGTGAACACGCATTTATATCTCCTAAAATGAGTCGTAATAATAAATGAGGGATTAACCTAGGACGATTCGATTGCCAGGATAAGGTTATTTGATTGAATTTACAATTTGCTGTTTTATCAACATTGTGCATGGTATTAAAGGGACGATTGAACCGTCAAATAAATAGAATAATAATAGTGTTTTCCATTTACGAAACAAAATAACGGCACCGGTCCTCAAAGAAGTATTGACAAAATGTTCTATGGAATTTTATATTTTACGTTAAAACTGTGTATGAAAGGAATTTATTATGGTTTATTATTACACACTATTAAAACTACTTAGTAAATAATGTACGTTATTAATATTAATTATTATTATTATTACTTTTTGAATCACGGTTAACACTTAAATATTTGAATGGTGAACTAATTGTTAAACATTAAAAAATATTTTCTCGTTTTACAGTTTTAGCATAAAATACAACTACAAAAGAACTATATTGTGCTATACGGTATTGATAATTATATATAATCATGTATAAGTATACACTTTTGTGTAACAAATATTAAATGGTTTAATACGGACTTTTAGTAATACCTGTTTCATTTAAATATGGGTTTTTGTTAATAATGATAATTCAAAAAGGTAATATCTTAGGTTTTTTGTAGATTATGATTTATTATCAAAGACAAATTATCCATAACATACGTACATATACAAATAAAAAAAACTAACTCTATGTTCATAAGTAAACACTGATGATAATATTATTATCTAAGTTATTTATTATTATTTATTATAAATATCAAGATGATTTTTAATAATACATAAAATATATAGATAATACGAAAAAAAAAAATTGTGATTAGCAATCGCCTAGGTAGCTGAATGTTATTAATGCGTTTTGAATAATTTGGAAAGTTAGAATTGTTGTTCGCAGAAAGAATAGAATATTACAAGCTTCTAATTTGTTCATGATTTTACTCCACTATTTCTAATTAGACAAAAGTTAGCATGATTGGATTTCAGGTATAAAACATAGGACATTGTAAGCATATATTTTTTCAGAACTAAATATAATACTTAACAATTGTATTTAAACTAAATAAAATTTATGTAGTTTACGAACATAATGGATGGATATTAAGTTATACACAGTTTATGTTTATACAAAAATTCTAAGAATAATTATATATTTTTTGATGTGTCATATTTTAAGATTGTGTATACTATATTGGTATGGGTATATATGGGTATAAATAAAATTATAGATAGTTATTAAAATTAAAAACTTAAGACAATTAAATGATTCATTATTTGTTTAAGTTGTCAAACACTATGTTATTATTTGTGTAGAGTTTACTATTTAACGGGAGTATTGGTTATTGTTTTTCAAATAAATGTATTATTTAAAGTAATTAACCTACAACGATAATTGATTTTATGCAATTAAAAATGTGATGTTAGTACAAAAACTAATTTAAAATCAAATTATATTTAAATTATTCGGATGCATGTTTTTTAATAATACATTATTTCACATCAAAACCTAACGTAATTCACTGATATAATTTAGTTGATGTTTAATTTAAAAAACCATGTATTTAGTACATGTTTATACACCAAATATATACATAAAAATAAATATATGCATATTTATACTATGAAAGGATTTCGATATTAAGTAAAATAATATAAAATTATATTTTGAAGTCGAAAAAATAATACATTAGGTTACATAAATGAAAATGGATTTTATCAATAATGTTACAATTATAATATGTAATATAAGATTTAAGCTAATTATAACCAAGATAAGAAAAAATTAAATGTTTGCATTTTTATTATAGTAGCACAGAATAATAAATGAAATACTAATCTTATATGAACTTAAAAAACTCTTTTCAAAATTGTATATTATACTTTAAATGTATCCTATGAAAAAAAAGTAATAAAACGTATATGTGATACATGAAGTATAGTTTTCAAAATCTTATTTAATTAATAAAATTAATTAAGTACAATTGGTAATAATAATAAAACAAAAAGATAAAAAACAAAATTTGTATGACTGTAATTATTTTTTTCATATTATTATGAAATTAATTGTTTTAAGCTGTTAATTCACTTGAAAATTATTTTATAAACTATTTTACAGTTATTGAATATTGAGTTTTATTAGTCTTATTATGCTATGAGTTTATATAATATTTGCGTCAGCTTTATCATTCCGAAAAAATATATAATTAAAAATTTCAGTATTAAAATTATTTTCAATTTGGAGTGGTTTTATTTTTATTTAAAACTGAAATAAAATCAGTCAAGAAAATTTAAAAGAGAAGAATTTTTAAATGTTTATAGAATTTAACGTGATTTACTAAGCTTTCTTCTACTAGTCAAAAGTTCCAATAAGGGTACATACAATATTATTATTAATTATTTTTTATTTTGTTATCAGTGTTATATGAGTACAAATTGATTAAAAATTTCAAAAACATCAAAGTACCACTAAAAGTTTCGTAAATTATTTTTATTACTTCAAATATAAATGCTTTGCAAACAATTTTCATTAATTATAAATTACTATAATATATAGTTGAAATTTTAATTTCTGAGAAACTTTATTTTATAAAAATAATTATTATATTTTTTTCAACACATGAGTAATATAATTTTTAAAATTTTATAATTAAAAATATTTGATTTGTACTAGAGATTTATAATTAGTGTTTCTTGAAATAAAATAAAAATACTTCTCATTAAATGAAAAACAAGTATATTTTTTACTTATTTAAATTCAACAAAGCAGAGTATAATCATAGAATATATTAAACTTAAAATAAGTGGTTTTCAAGTTTATTTAATGCACAAGTGTTAATGAGTATTCAATACTTCATCTCTTGACAAGCTAAACATATTTTTTTATGAACATGTTAAATAATAATTTTATACAAGAGCTACAAATATTTTAATCATCCACACATATAAATATTTTTAATACATAGATATTTAAGTTGTAATAATTATGATTATGAGTGCCAGTTGGAGTACCACTTGTTCTAAAAAGAGATTTGAAAAGTTTTTAATTAATATAAACCCTAAAATGTTAAATGCAAAGTGTTTTCATAACGTGGTCATTGAGTCCAGGCGAACTAATTTAATTTCGTGGTTTTACCTAAAACCCGTCCGTTCCAAAATGTTTTTTCCCCATTCAAGTCCCTTGACAACACTAAACCAAAAGCTAACAAGCAAGTTTCGCACCCGAGGGATGTAACGTTTGTGGGCATATTTGCCGAAGCAATAAGGTTATTGATAATTTGCAAGACTCTTGAGAGGAGACAGGAAGGCTTGTAGTTCAAAAAACTAATCTTTCAATTTAATGAATGTTTACTTGAATATTGTGTTTGAGGTCGGTAATTATGACGAGGTCTTTGGTCTTGTCCAGTGCAGCCAAAACTGCGTCTTGTTGTATTAACATCGATCGCACCGATATATCTTCTTTCTCCAATTGCTGTAATTCTTTGATCCATACGTTTTTGTTACACGTTTCCACTATAATCTGTAACAGTAATTATTCGTCAATTAAAACGATGCAATATTGATTAGGAATCAATATAACAGTGTAGCCCACTAGAGCTGTAACAATGGTGAGGCAGGTGATTGAGGCATTTGCCTCAGGATCCAATGCAATTTGGGCGTAAAATCTTAACAATTTTTTTAATTAAATCGGACAGTTAAGTAATGTGTAAATTAATACTAAATACCTTTTATCGGTAATTAAAAAAAAATAATAATTATAAATTGAATTATGACTGTATATAAGACTTCTTATATTTTTTAAGTGTACTGGCTATAGGTTGTAGTTAATACAAGATTGGGACAAATACTCTCTCTTAAATGACACAGTACAGTAAAACCTCTCTATGCCGGACCCTCGTAAGAAAGAATCTTGTATAAAACGGAAAATATCCATAGCCCTCGTTATATAATTAACCTTTTGGAATCTCTATTATACAAAAACGGAAATATTTTCATATAACCAGAAAAAATACTTTCCTCGTGATCGAAAAAAAAACTATTTAAATATAAATAACATATGTATTTTAAAATAACATAAGTTTTCTACATTTTATTATTATCTGAAATATAGCTTGGTATAATTTATTATTATTTAACGATTGTCATATTGATTTATTGATATTCTAATGAGCAAAGTATAGTACAACAAATATTAGATATTATGTATCTTTACCTATAGCACATTTTCAAATATAACTAGTAGAAACTATGGAGGAGTAGAAGTGATAAATATTGAGAATTATTGCTAGCAAAAGTCGGGAATAATGCAAACGAAACCTGTCCTTTTTTAAAGGTATTTCTACTAAGTCAATAGTTATAAATCATGAGTCATGTGCAAGATGAAAAAGGCAAAGGATCAATTAACAAATGAGTGGAATATGGCAGGGGAAATTAGGATGCCCTTGGATATAGGCAAGTTTAAAAAATCAGGATGTTTTAAGAACATGATTGTTCATTAATTGAACAATTGTTGGTTGTACATAAATAGTATTTTAAAATTTAATTTTTTTCATCCTTTCTATAACGAAAAAATTTACTGGTCCCAAGTGATTCCGTTTAAGAGAGGCTTTACTATATATAGGATTTCAATATTAAAGATAACAGTGTGAATACCCCTATAATTTCGCGCTTGTGTAAATGTTACGGGTAATGTGAACACTAACCGTATCTATTGGACATAGTAAAAATATTATTCATAAAATGTTTATTTCGTACATTACTCAGGTAATTTACACATTATCTAAGAGACTGAGAGGGTGAAGTACGTACATTTTGTACGTTATTTATTACATTGATGAAACACACGCAATGTTTAAATATTTTAAAACAATTTTAATATAGTTCTTCTTAATATATGCGTTCTACATATACGTTTTTAAAATGACTTCATGCCAAAAATGTAACGAGTGTTTTTATAAAATAATCAATGAATATTTTGTATCATATTTTGTATTTTAGGACCTCCAATGATATTACAATCTGACAATGGCCGTGAGTTTGTAAATAAAATAATAGAAGACTTAAAAAATATGTGGGACACACTGAAAATCGTTCATGGAAAGCAACGGCACAGTCAGTCACAAGCGAGTGACGAGAGAGCAAACCAGACATTGTAAACTATGTTGATAACATGGATGAAAACAAACAACTGTAGATCATGGTCGGAGGCAGTGTTGGGAATAGATAATGCAAAATTTATCTAGATAAAGATGAAAGATAATATGTCTAAATCCATCTAGATAAAGATAATAGAAAAAAAAAATTAAAATATCTAGATAAAGATAAAAGATAATTTCATTTTTATCTAGATAAAAAAAAAGATATTTTCAAAAATGTTATTTTTTGGTCAATATTTCATATTCTAATAATATCTATGAAGACTCAATTATAATCAGAGGCGTATTTAGAAATGTCTTATTGGGGGGAGGGTTGTACAAACAAAAAGTTCAAAGTATACATAGTTATAACTTTTCCATCTCAACAAAACTGTCATTATTCATAACCAAATAATCAAAATACAAGTGTTTGATAGAAACATAAGCTTTTATTACACAAATTTATAATAAAATATATTTTTAAATATAATTTTTGTAATTACAATAACTGAAGACGTCTAGAGTGTTTATAAGCATATGCATCAACTACTTCTTCAGATTTTATAATTATTTCAGGGTGTATATTAAGGTGTATTTAGGGTGTATACAATTATCCGTTTAATCGATAGTATCATAACATCCCTGATTATAATCATTATTATCAATAGATACCTGGGTATTTAATGTTTATTGTAGTAATGTAGTGTACCATTAAGCAGTATTTATAATTAATGTACAATATTCAATGACAGCTAATCACTAAAATATTACAGAAAAAAAAAAAATGAAAATTACTCTGTACGTATCAGGATGAATACAAAATACATAAAAAAATATTTTATGTTAACAATATTGTTTTCCATATAATATTAATTTGATGATTTTAATTATTTTATAAGTAGTTACGACTTTACGGGTTCCAAGTGTGAAGTAATAACTATTCAGCGTATGAGTTATGTGTGTATACTAAAATCAAATACCTACTTTATTTGGAACTTCCATGGGAAAATAACAAATTAAGTTTAAAAATACCAAAAATATTTTCCCGACATAAAAATACAAATAAAATGACATACCAAGAAATAATAATTACTTATTAATAATACACGAATTATGATTATGAATACAAAATATATATGTATAAAAGAAAGTCAGGTTATTTACAGTACTATTTATAATTCAAGAACGGCTGGACCGATTTTGATGATCTCTGATTTGTTGGATTCATCTCCATACAAGAATAAAAATAACTCTAATCTTGGCAAGAATATAGACAATTATCTAAATAAGTAAAAATTTTTTCTGAGATAAGTAATTAGATAACTTGGCATTATTTATCTAGATAAGATAAAAGATGACAAAAAATCTATCTAGATAAGTCTCAACACTGGTCGGAGGGACTTCGATTTTTACAACTTATGAAAAATAGGGCATATCACGATGGCATTAAAAGATCACCATACATGGTCATGTTTGGCACTGATGTGAAAATTGGTTTGTTACCATATTTACTACCAACTGAAACAGTGGAATAAAATTAACTATTGAACAAGAGTTGGAAGAAATATTGCAAAGTGTCGTATCAGGCTATGAACAAAGAGACAATCATGTTTCCGATAAAGAGGTAAATTGTTGGCCATATATAGTTGCACAGTTACTGTTACTCTCTATCGTAGGTTACAGGTACTTTTATTTAATTATTTCTACTTTTCTTGACTGTACAGTATCTAGTTAATGTGAATCATGTGGCTGTAATTAGACAAAAATTTATTTGCAGTTTATGTGATAAAAAAGTAATTACTACAAAACAAGTTTTTCTTAGGTAGGCGAATTTTTATTTATTTTTAGTAAAAATGTTTTAAAATACGATAATAAATGAGAGAACCAGTTCAAAATTATCTCTGGAACAGTAACCAAAAAAAAAAAATTCAGATCCATTAACAAATTCCCACCATGTAATGTTGGCAATACAGTTCGATTCAAACTACCAGAAGTAGACAGAAGTAAAGGTGATCTACAGAATTTACTCTTTAGGCCGGTGTCACACTAGCGGAATACCTGCAGCGGAAGTTTCGCGGCGGAATTTCCACAATATCGAAATTTATATATTTAATTACTACTGGACGCATTACAGGGAAATTTCCGCACGGAAAAAAAACTGCTACACTTCGCGATTATTCCGCGGGATTTATTTCCGCAACGGATACCAAAATAAATCCAAACATGTTTTTTTGGGTTACCTATGTCATTTTTGTAGCGGAATCATAATATTTTATTTTATTCATCATTTGATTATTAATTCTTCAACGAGCATCATCATCATGTTATACGATGAATTATTAATTTCTGAAGTGCAGTTAAATCCATGTTTATGGAATTTAAGCAACAAGGAATATAGTAATCGGGAAGTAAAAAAAAAAAAACATCTAACCAAAGAGCAAAAAATATATTTTCCGATTGGGAAACAATACTAATCGGTGAACGAAAAGAAAATCGTAAATACTACTTAAATCATTTAAATTTTAAATATCATATGAAATATACTATTTATTAAACATGGAATAAGTACTTAATTTATTAGTCAAATTTTAAACACCATCACAATTCACAATGAATCTACTCTAAATAATAATATATAAGTTTTAACTTTAAACTTTTAACTATAAATATTATAATAATAGTACTATGATATTATTAAATTATATATTTTATTAACTTGTAATTATTAGTAGGATGCTTCCCAATTTAAAAATAATTAAATTCTGTTATTTTGCCATGGTACACTTCCGGCATCACTTAAGAAGTATTGGGCGAATTGATCTCTAACCTGTTGTCCAACTAAACTTCTAGATGCAGTTTCTCAATAGCTAACATGTTATCATCATTTAAAGTGTCTTCAAATTCAAATCCGTCTCTCCGTCGTATATAATTATGGAGAACTACGGCTGCTTGAACTATAGTAATTACAAAATTAGGCTCTACTGCAATACACTCATAAAAAATTTCAAATTTTCCACATAGGATTCCAAAAGCGTACGCAACATTTCTTCTAGCTCTACAAAGTTTATAATTAAAAATTCGCTTGGAATAATGTAAATCACGGCTTGAATGAGGTCTAAATAAACGCTGATGAATTCCAAAAACTTCATCTCCAATTAATACATAGGTTAATGCAGGGCCATCAGTATTTTTCAGTAAGTTAGTCGAAGATGGTAAATTTAACGTGTTGTAGAGCTGTTTTCCAAAAGTAGATTGATTAAAAATGTTTGTATCTCCTTCACAGCCGTAAGATCCTATATCCACAATTGTAAAACAGTAATTAGCATCAAAAACTTCCATTAGGACAATTGAAAAAAAACTATTTATAGCAAAAATAATTTGTGCC